CAGAGACTGCAACTAAAGGCAGGATGAATTTTGCAGTACGAATGTGCGAGCTACGTTCAAATCCATTTATCTGACTCCTGTATGGATTCAGTCTAATAGCACTCTATTTCAGCATTACGCTTTTGATCCATTTTTAATAAGTCCCTCCCCCCATTCCTCCTCGTCCAATTCAACTACTGCAAGGAATTTCCAAGATCTGTGGGCTGCGCGTTAGCTGGATCTCATTCGTTGAATGCGTACATGCATGAAAAAGAACATATTTTCTGTCAGAGTGCAATATGCTACAGTTTTTATTAGAAAGGATAGAAAATTGGAATTTCTGTGGATGTAAGTTCCCTCCAGTGGAAACCAAAATGAAGGAGTTAACTTTTTAGGTCTGTAATTTCCTGGAAGAAATCTCTTTTAAAGCTCACTTGTATCTCTTACTCCACATTGAGAAATCTGTAGGACTCTCTCTCCCAGCAATTCCTCTCAATTTCAACCTCCCGTTTGGCGTTTCTGAGACAATGAGCCTCTACGTCCCGACACCAGACAGGTTTCTTTGTCTCTTTACGTCAGAGTCCGCAATAAATCTGCGGTTCGTTTGTTAAGGGGTTTTTTCCAATCCCTTTTCCAGCACTGTTTATACAGCTGCCCTGCTCTAACCGGGGCTTTGACGCAGACGATAAGCTCTCAGGTCCGTCTACAAGTTAACGTGCGACCGTGTTTTTCAGGGATGACGTCGCATCCAGCTCCACCTTCACCCTGGAGGACAGTGCCATCTGCCTTACGTCGGAGCAGAGCACCATGGACGTGGACATGGATCGAGATGACGGATCGGTTCTTGACGTCTACCTGGTGGGTTCATTTATTTCAGGTTATTCTTGTTTAAATATTGACTAGGCTTCAGCTGGATATACTGACTTATTCTCTTTGTTTCACAGTGAAAGGAGCAGCTTTACAAACATTCATTTTCTCCTGCCAAGCATAAGACAATCGCCACACCCCCACTGGACAGGCCATGCTGGCGTTTGACTCACTTTCAGTGCTGCTAGATCCATGTTACCACTTGTCTTTGCCAACACATCAAAAAAAGTACTGAGATTTCCACTGGTTGTTGGACGAAAAGTCAAAGTGAAGGAGATCTGCGAGGAACCATGCAACATACCGTGTCACGTGCTGTACATCAGACTGAGCTTTCAGAACATGCGTCAACGCCGCGGCACCATTAGGTTTTATATGTGTGTACTGTTTTCAAGGCCTACAAAACAACTTCAGCATATTTGAGGAGACGGTAGATGCAAACCATTCATGTGTTTAGATGTTTTGTTTGGGTTTTTTTCTTTCCCTGCTGTTCAGAAAGACATGAAGGACACTTTTACGATTCGCGACTGCTTTAGTTGCTGTTAAAATGAGAAATGTTTACACTGAATTTATGGTGGCATCTTTGTCCCCAATGAGGAGGGACGCCGCGTTGTCAAACGAAGGACACAAGTTGGTTTTGTAGCCGCATCCAACACCTACCAGGAAAGACTCCTGTGAACAGACTAGATACTGAAGCTGCCGAGGCCAAACCCGAGGTGCGATCCGGTTTAAGCGGCCTGCATTTTTTCCTAACTGTGCCGCCCGGAGAGGAGCGTGAAGCGAGCAAAGACTGCGGCCAGGCCTCGTCTGAAGCCCGGAGCAGGAGGCACTTTTGCCATGTTATGATTTCTGTAAGACGGATTTCTCCAAGGACACTGCTTTAGGCGGGTGGGCTACCTGATAGAAGCACAGATGTGTGAACATGCACTTTTTAAAAGAATCTTTATTATTCAAATGCACACTTGTTTTGTCGTTGACACTACATGTACAAAGACAATGAAGCAACACTGTAGATATTTTTTTTTCTGTTTGATGTGGAACTACTAGTTTCATGAGGTTTGCGTCATGACTGAAGATGCTTTTACTCAGGATATCCTTTGATACTGAATAAGTATGTCCTCTTTAAGTTCAAGTTCTGAGACACTCGGTGGCGGTCCAGTACCGCTCCATCAAAATCATATCCAGCTATAAGTGTTTGAACTCCACGATCACGTCAGTTGAGACCATAATTTATTATGTAAATCCCAATATTTTACCATTTGCTGAAAATATACTTTCATCGCTGAATGTATAGACAATGCGTATTTATATAAAGAAGAGACTCCTATAAATAAAAAATTGAAACTCTGTGTCTGCCTGTGAATGCTCAAAACATTTCATGTCATGCGTTTGCAGGTCATAGCTGTGGATGTTTAGGAAGTGGCGGTCTTTAGTGAGAGTATGGGCAGAAACCCTAGGCGTGCAAACACGGTGGTAACACGTAAACTCCACGTAGAAACGGCCGTGACCTGATTCTGTTCCAACGCTGATTATTGCGGCTTTCCACAGAAACCAGTTTCATTGTCACGCCAGTGTGAGGAAAAGAATACGATCGGTTCTGCTGTATATTAACTTTAATTTACAGGACATTGCAAAACATTTACTGTCAAATAAAATTTCTCATATACAGTTTAAAAATATACAAACTATTTAAAATACAGACAAAACTGAAATCACTAAATGCATTCTGCTCATGTAGCTACAAATAATGAAATAATTTACCCAAAAAAAATCACCTCATGAAATTGTGCTTACATACAAAAGCGCCCATGACCAGCATGATCTAGCTAAGATCATAAACAACTACTTTTGTTTTAAAGCTCGAGGGGCATCTGAATAATTACAGATTCTGTAGATCTTACCTCGTTCACTTCAATAAAATCAATCCAATCTCAAAAAAGAAAAAAAAAATCATGAACTTAGTTAAACTTAAAAGGTCAAAGATGGTATGTATGGTAATTAAATTAACCCAATAAAACAAAAATATACAAATATAATTAATTATAATTATAGAAGATGTAGCTGCCAGTCAAGTTGTGCTTGGGGTCCTGGTTACCTCGTTGAATTCAGAAAAGGATGGGCTTCCCAGCGGTTTTCTCCTGGACGTAGGAGCTGAAGCGTTTGAGGAACTTGGGATACTCTCTCTTGGCCACAGGTCTGAGGATTGATGCTGGAAACCAGCCTCCGGGGTTCACTGCAGTCACACAGAGAAATATAATCAGGAAACAGTGTGTTCCCGCTGACTTATGATAAAACTATTAATAATAAACCTGCACAGGCAGCTGTGTGGGATGCCCTCTGGCGGGACGTGGTGATTTAATATTTATGTTTTTAAATGAACTCCCTCGACTCGCTCGGCATCTCTGACAATAAACTGGCTTATTCATCCTGCAGCGCTGCTTTATGTAATAACCTGCTTGTCTGCAGGGGCAGAAGTTGCAGTCTGGACTACAATTTCAAAGTAATACCCCAGGCCGGGTCATCCTCCTGTCAAAACTACAAAATTCATTTAACAAAAACAAAAAAGGGCCAAAACAAAGAATGGCATGTCAGTCATTCAAACGAATGAATAACCAATTCTATATTTTCTTTGATGGTCTAACAAACACTTCCATTAGACTGAATAACCAAACATTCAGACATTCAAAGTGTGCTTTTCTCATCTGTCGTGTACAAAATCTAGTGATACATGTGAGGACTGTAAGACTAAATAGAGGCTTTGTTCTGCTGTCTGCTGAGATCAAAGCCAGATGCTCTTAAGAGGCACTTACCATTGGCAACATAGCTGACCCTGCACGAGATGTTGTCTCTGCTGATCTCTTTGTCGCCCTCTGGTGGACTAACCAGCGTTTGGCAGATCATTGCAACATTAAGTTTGGCACGAACACACCGGTTTGTTAGCTGAAAGTGAAAAATACATGAATAAATAAATAGGAGTAAAAACAAATTAAATCCCCCAAAACAGACACATATCTCACTGTAACTGATATGACTGACAGACTTTGGTTAACATTGTTCTCCCATTTACTCAATAAGGCCTTGTTTGACAAGATGATGTTTGATACTAACATGAACTAGATGCACTGTTACAGCACTTGGAGGTGTGAAGAGAAAAATATGCATAAGCAGTATGTTTACCCAGCTTTCTTTGTCAGGCATAATGTATTAAACCTCAAATGTAAGAGTTGTTCTTATACCAGGAGCAGTGCTTATGTCTGTTTTCAGTCATCCAGGTCATGGCACGCTTAAGCACTCGAGCTGAAGGCAACTGGACGTGTTTTTACTTTCATTAAGATTTTTCACATCTCATCAGAGAGTCTTCTTCAGTCATAAAGGCCCAAATATTTAACCTCTACTGGGATTGGCCAGAGTCGCCTCTATTTTTTGAGGCGACTGAGGTCCTTCAACATCTGCCGGACAATGCTTGGGATTTTCTACAAGTCTGTTGTGGCCAGTGCGATCCTCTATGCTGTTGTATGCTTGGGGAGTAAATTGAGGGTTGCTGATGGTAAGAGACTCAATAAACTGATCCGCAAGGCCAGTAATGTTGTGGGGATGGAGCTGGACTCTCTTGAGGTGGTGTTAGAGAGGTGAATGTTGTCCAAGATAAAGGCAATGTTGGATAATTCCTCCCACCCACTCCATGACATGCTGGTCAGTCACAGAAGAAGTTCAGCAAGAGACTAAGATTACCAAAAAGCACCACTGAACGACACAGGAAATCATTCCTGCCTGTGGCCATCTCCCTCTACAACTCATCCACTTAACACACTGTATACTGCAATAGCTACACCCCTTTTGCACATTCCCTTCTTTCTTATTCAGATATTTATCAATAAGTAACTTATATGTATGTATATATTGTGCTATTTCTTACTTTTTGTAATGTCTGTCTTTGTTACTGTTTGTACTGGAGCACTGTAACCAAAATAATTTCTCCTAAGGATCAATAAAGTGTTCTGATTCTGTTCTGATTGTCACCTTGGGGGTGGTCCTGAGAGTTTTTGACTCACCCTGTCATCATGTCAAAAGGAAAGATGTTTCACCTTCACAAACCTAAAAAGAAGTAAAGCTGCCTTTAACTCAAGTGCTTAGCACTGGGACTCTGCTGTAACCCGAAGTAATTGTCTTGTGTATGACTTTATGAGCCTCTCACATGATTGTGCTCGGGATCATTGTCCTGTCGCGTGACCCAAGCTTTAGCTGCCAGTGTCAGATTTGACTCTATAATACTTCATGAGTTCATGAAAGGTGCTCAGGTTCCTGTGACTCCGAAACATCATTCCTCCACCACTGTGTCTGACAGTTGGTTTGATGTGCTAATGCTGATATGCTGTAGTTTTAAAACTACTTCAGCCTGAAATATACATGTAAAAAAACGTATTATTATGATTATACGACTATTATTACTATTTTTGTTAGGCTGTGAGATGGGTTAATGATTAGCCGTACTGTTGATTTTCATGCATTTTTTGTACAGTGTCAGATTTTTTCACCAAAACAATTACTAATTGGGGAAAAAAAGAAAGAGAAGACTTTAAGTTGGACACACACACACACACACACACACACACACACACACACACACACACACACACACACACACACACACACACACACACACACACCCCTGCAGAAAACAGAGTTTGAAATTTTCCAGCATGCTTTGAATAGCGAAGAGTAGCGCCATCTGGTGGACAAATCTAAACATTTTAAATTGAAGCGAATTTCAATGGGGCATTTTTTGGCCTTAGATCAAATGTAGATGTGCATAGCTTAACCATTTTAAGCTAATTTAAGGAGTTGAGACAACTATTCTAAAATTTAAAAAATATATATTTTGGCAAATATCAGCTATATTCATTCAGCACAGCAGAAAATAGAAAATAAAAGAAATAAAAGAAGTAACAGAAAATAAAAAACTGAATGGCACACAATGTCCTGAACATCATCTATTAATTAAATGAACACAGCACAACAGTCTAGCGCTAAAAACACAAGGGAAGCCTCTGAGGGTTAATCTTACAGGTACATCATCATGCTCCACAGAGATGTTGCAGACGATCCATGTGTCGGGTTCACTTTCATTTCTCGGTGGAATCATCCTGATGACTGACAGGAAGAGCACATCTCTCTGAGCGACAGGCCACACTGTCTAAAACAAAGGAGACACGTGATCAATTCAATCAATCAAAAACAGGCTGTGCAATATAACTGATGAAATGTGCATTGTGTTTCACTGTGCAGTGTGCACTCAGTATACCTTGTGCGTCTGGTACACAATGATGGCATTATCAGAGAGCTTTTCCACAACGTGGAAATTTTCAACGGTGGCTGTGGGAGGGAGAGTTCACATCAGGTCATGGCAATAACACAAGGAAAGTCAAATAGTAATAATATGTTGGACTAAAACACAGATCTTACTCTCCCAGTCCAATCGGACTGCAGTGTCCCAGAAGTAGTGGCAGACCTCATGTCCAGTTACCCCCTTCACAGCATGTGTCGCTTTGAGGGGATCCAGGACGATGCCGTTCTCCTCCACTTCCCTCCTGTATACCTGTTACACAGCACCACAGACAGAATATTATAAACACACTAACAACTTCACCCGTTACTAAAAACTAAGATGATTTTTTTCAGGCTTTTAAAAGTTTTAAATCACCGTGTATTTCAGCGGCGTATTTTTTCACTGTAGCACAAATAAGTTACTACTGCAGTACATTTTAAAATGTGAATGAGATTTAAATATTCACAGCAAACAACAGAAATAATTCATGTTTTCTGTCCTCACCTTCATCGCCCCTTCTTCTGCTACCAGTTGCCAGTTGGCACCTCCACCCTCCTCCTGGATGGAGTAAGCCATGTGATTCTGCACAGTTTCCTCCACCTAAGAGTCAGATATTATAGTATTACAGTATTTATATGCCTGAGCGATCGTTACACCTTCTACCTGTGTATTTAGTTGTTTTTTTTTTTTAAACAGAGGTGTTGATAAAAATAAGAGAAGCCATGAATCCCAGAAATGTCTTAAGCAAATTTACTATCCAACTAAATAAATATTACACACTTGATATTGCTTGGGTGTGTTCAAAACCTCAACAACGCGTCACGGTCCCTGATTTCTCCCAGAATTTTGACTTCCTGTATAGTCAGGTGGTGCTATATACTGAGCGCAACCTGACTCTGATCCTCGGAGCACAGGAAACGTTTGTGAAATCCTGCAGGGAGTGGTTTAGCAGGCGTTTACGTGACGTTCCCAAACACAGCACTTGAGGGCTGAATCAGTGGATGTTATCTGAAGCAGATGACTGATTAGCTCGATCGAGGACGAGGAAGGAGAGTGGGTTTAGAGCTGTACATCGGAGAGAGATTTTAAAAAGAAGAAGGAATAAACTACAAAAACTGAAAAAGACCCCAAAAAAACCCCAAAAAACCCCCAAAAAACCCCAAAAAACTAGCATTTCATATGAATCTGTACTTTAATATTGCAAGTGAGCACAAAATGATGTGATTAAGATTAAGGTCAGGTATGTCAGCGTCATCAGCACCAAGAAGACTTTGATTTGTACAGGGATGATAAGACAAAGATAAGAGCAGCAACTTGTTACCTTAAATTTTAACAAAGGTGGACAGGAGGAGGGTGAATAGCACAAAGCAAACAAACATAAATATGGTTCGCACCTTGTTGGCAAATCTGTGTGTGCCGATGCTGGAATATTCATGACCGGAGGAAGCTGAAGGCAGTTGAACTTTCCAGACCGTCCTTGACTGGCTCTGAGGGAACGAGCAGATGAGTTAAGATGAGAAATGGGTTTATGGAGGCCATGAATGAGAACATTGAGACAGCAGTGAGGAGGGTGACAGATGGGTTCAAGGTGGTGTTGCTGGGCTCTGAGACCCTTCTCGTGATGGACAGACTGATATATGAGTTTAGAGAAGAGTCTCTGCAGACTATGAGTTCATTTAAGTTCAGTTTTATTTGTCATATGCAAGTTAGCACAGGGTCAACATTGCAATGAAATGTATGTGATGAGCAGAAGACAGTCACTCAGCAGTATAGTACAGTAAAAAAAAGAAAAACATTGTAAAAGAGCAAAATATTTATAAAATATAGTAAATATTTTGCTCTGACTATGATGTTCACATACAACAATGTGTTCTATAATGAGAGTAGGGAGCAGGTGGAAGAGAGCCTGGGGAGGTGGAGGTATCCTCTGGAGTGAAGAGACATGAAAGACAGTAGAAGAAAGACCTAATATGTGTGTGTGAATGAGAGGGAGACAGGTGTAACAGTGAAGATGCAAGGAGGAGGCAGCCTAATTTTGACCTAAAATGAACAGTAATTAATATAATATTATAGCTTGAGTGTTTAATCATAAGAAAGTTTTGCACAGGCCTCTATGCAGTCCCCCAAGAGCTACATTTCAGTCTAAAGGCCTCGGTTAGCATGTTAAATGTTAAAGTTCACAACAGTGCAAAAACACTGAAAGAGTGTGGCTTGTTTGGAAGGGTTGCCACAAGAAAGCTTCTTGTCTCTCTCTAAACAAAAAAGGAAGAACATGGCTGCACAGCTTATCTGAACAAATCACTAATAAGACCTTTGGACAGGCAAGACCAAAGTGGGAATGTTTGTCCATGAAGAACTGCACTGTGTGTGTTGAAAGCCAAACACAGCATATCAATAAAAACATCAACATAGTGGTGGTGGTGGTGTGATGATTTGGGGTTTGTTTTACAGCCACAGGATCTGGCCACGTTACAGCCAGCCAAGAACTCCTCTCTATAACAAAGTCTTCTTCAGTCAAATATGAAAGTATTTGTCCCACAGCTACTGTAAAGCTTTACCCGCATACAATTTGACAATTATCTGATGCAAAGCATCAAATCTACAGCAGAATGACTGGAAAAAAGAGAAGAAAAATCAAGGTGTTGCAATGGCTCAGTCAAAGTCCAGAATGAGCTGCGCATAAACAAATGCCCGCAAACCTCACTGAACTGAAGCAACGCTGTAAGGAAGCGTGGACCAAAGTTCCTCTATAATGATGTGAAAGGCTGATAAAGTCATACAGAAATCATTTTGGGACTTCAGGTTATTACTGCTAAAGGTACTTCTAGAAGCTATTGATTGGGGGATGCACTCAGTTTTCCACAGGACTTGACTTTCCTTTCCACGTGACTGTTTCTGTTCTACTTTGTATCTTTGGCCATTAATCCGTTTGGATCTTATCTCTCCTTGTCTACACGAAGAAATGCTGCCATTCCACATACACAGCTAATCAGCGAAGAAGTAAAATGGTTAGATTATATTCAATAGTTTATCCCAGTCCAATTAGTATTATTCAGATCTATGACTTAGAAGAAAGGAATTATAGCAAACTAGCTAAAGTATCTGGACTTTGTTTTTTTAATTGCTGTGTAGATAAACTAACAAATCAAGTGTGGCTACCGGTGAACTGTAATGCTAACAACAGAGTAATACTATTAAAGTCAGAGGAACCAAACACAAACACAAACAGGTATAAAGGGAGGTGTCGGCATTCCAGACAACACAAAATAAATAGAATGTGTCGTATAACCAGGACACAGAGACCTACTGTAACTGGATGGCTGCAGGTCTGCACAGGGATCCATCTTTGAGTCTCCTGCTTCAGCAGCTGTTTCTTCTTACTTTTCCGTGACTGCTTCGGTGAACTGTGCAACGAAGTCCCGGTACTCATTTTCTAACTTACTCTCTGAACAAGTGTGGGTAGGTGTGTCCCGCTCCTCGTGTGTTTGCTCTGTGACTGTTTCTATGTCTCTACCCCACACACCCGCAGTTAAACTTCACATACATAACCAAACACTGATAAGTTTGTGGTTGATTGACTCAGGTAGTCTAACTCACAGGAAATGCTTCCCGGCTTACCTTTACGCACAGAGAGAGAGCGAGAGAGAGCGAGAGAGAGAGAGAGAGGGAAGGAACTGGTTTGTCGAGATCAGCTGAGATCAGGACATACATGAGGAGCTCTTTTAAAGGCACAGGCCAATCAGTGTCAACATGAACAGAGAGTGTTACAGGACCTCAAACTGTCCACTTGTTTCATGTTTACTGAGCAGTGACTGTAGGAGTTGAATTTCATAACATGTTTACAGTAGCCGCTTTTATCCGGATAGTTGGATCATGGAAAGGACCGGGGAACTGACTTTTCCTGTTTTTCTTGCTGCCTGGACACAGGCTACAGTCTCCTTTTCCTTTGGATGCGATCTGATTTGCATTTTCAGCAGGCGGACCAACACCGGAGCTAACTTGCATTAAAGTGTATGTAGTGTAAAGTATTCACCGCTAGATGTCAGTAGTTATTCTTTCTAATGTTGCCATGATTGTGTTTAAGGACTGATGAATAAGTAAAATACAGACTACAGCTGAAAGTTAAAAAATAACTACCCTTTATAAAAAAGAAGAAAAAAAAAAAGAATATTTTCGAAATCTGTCAAAAAACAAACAAACAACCTGATTAAAATAAAAATGACTACATTAACTGAACTTAATTCAAGCTTTTTACCCACATTTGAAGCCACTGGACATCTCTGAGAAGTCAGAAATTAATCAAGTATCACATACAACCACTAAAATTAGTGTTGTTCAGGAATGCAGTAACAATATTCAAGCATATTCTGGTGGAATAACCATTGTAGAAACAAAAAATTCTGTAACAAGCAAAACTTAATTTAGGACTACTTTGGTAAACCTGACATTGGAAGGTGGTGTGAAAATGTAAACGCTCTACATAAATTACACAGATGTGATACAATGCAGCTGACAGTAAAAAACACAAAAATATTATATACACAGAGATATAGATTATACACAGACACACTTAAAGTGTTAATAAAATAGGTCCAAGAATGGATCCCTGTGGAACACCTACACTGATGGCAACGCTTTTAATCAAGTTCAAGATCTTTCGTGACACAATAAAGTGCATTTTTTCTGACTCCAGGTCTGTGTTTGTAATAACTTAAAAACTAAACTAAACCATAAAACACCAAAAACACCAAAAACACTTACAGTTTTTTGTATATTAATTTTAATTTACAGAACATTGTCAAATTGCAATACATTTAGTGCAAATAACACTTCTGATGTACAACTTAGAAATATACAAAGTGTGTAGATTACTGACAAAAATATCAAAATTAAAAAGACTAAATGCATTCTTCAGCTGACACCGCTCAGATTTAGCTCTTATCATTATCGGCAAAACAATTATCCAGATCCCTCCTAACCTCAAATCTCTTTTTTCAAACCATGCAGATCTACTGACTGCTAAACTCCCAACTATTGATGGCATTGAACACAGTCGAAATTGAAACCTTGAGGTAAGATGATGTGAAATGCTGACCCTCCCCCTCCCAACCCCACCCAGTTTGATTTCAGTGTTGATAAATGCACGTCTGGTGGCTGAACAGTAGAGAAAGCCAGAACTCCTGGCGTCTAAGGCATACTGGGGGTAGTTTATCAGTCAAAGTGCAGGAAACCACTGCACGGTAGTGTGGCATCTGAAATGTAAAATCATCTGACTGAGAACATAAGGAACACATTATAAAATGATAATCCTATTTAACATTTAGTAACAATTCCGCTTAAAAGCAGCAGGAGTAATTTATAAATCTGACACTCTTGAGTGAACAGAAAGATTTTCTTTTCCCTGCCTCACCAGGGTCTGAAAATAGAGATGAGAAAACCTAGAGGGTACAAAATGTATTCATTCAGCTCTCAAAGAAAGAGAGGAATCTTCAAACCAGACACTAGGGCCGGTCCTTTGCAAATATCTGTCAGCAACAGCATGCTGACTGACAAATACATGCAAATACCGCAACTTAGCATCTAACTAACGACATCATCTG